TTCGGTCTAATTAGCATGTTTTATTAGTACAGATAAGGAGAGAAACATAAGGACAGAAAACAAGTTAAACCTACTGTTTCCTTTTTGTGATTGTAAATCCTCACCTGGGCAGATTTTTTCCATTAACTTTTGGCAGGAAAGAACAGGCACGAAATGGGGAGAGGGAGGGAGAGAGAGAGAAAGGGAGAGAAATAGAAGAGAGAGATATCAATGTAAAAGAGAGACAGAAACACATGGATTGGCTGCCTACCACAGGTACCCAGGAGCTACTTGCTCTGGATCAGGAATCAAACCCTACACCACTGATCCACAGCAAACGATGGGAACTAATTTTTCTTACTATTATATCTCTTTGAAAATTTTTATGTGTCATTAGTGGAAAGCTATGTTGTAGAAATTTAATGAAACTGAACATACATTAAAAATATCACTCTTGGAAACCGTCTAGAAAATACAAAAACTGATTAGGGTATGTCCATGATGGGAGTATACTATGTAAGAAAGTGATAATATGCAAATTGACCATCATGCCCTCACACAAGGCTGCCCCCATGTGTTCACAAGATGGCCACCACAGGATGGCTGCCAAGGGAGAGCAGTTAGGGGCGACCAGGCCAGGAGGGAAGGGCAGTTGAGGGTGACCAGGTGTGCAGAGGAGGGCAGTTAGGGGCAACCAGACCCGTAGAGGAGGGCAGTTGGGGGCAACCAGGCCTGCAGGGAAGGGCAGTTGGGGGCGACCAGGTGTTCAGGGAAAGGCAGTTAGGGGTGACCAGGCCTGCAGGGGATGCAGGCTGGGGTGAGGGACACCCCCCCCCCCACAGTGCAAGAATTTCATGCACCAGGCCTCTAGTAGAATATAATGAAAATTTAAATAATCAAGGCCTGATTGTTTATAGGTCCCATGAAAAAGCCAATGATCTGTAAGAAATAAAAGTAAGTCCTTCGTTTTCTGAAGCAAATGCAAACTAAGAAGAGGGCTATTTTCAGATATGAAGTGATGGTCTTTGCACAACTTTCATTAAATCGCTACTACACCCTTCTTCCTGAGAAAGGGAGACTATTAACTCTACAGTGAAAGGAGCACCTCTGCCATGTGAACATCAGGTGGACTGAACAATGGGCATCAGGTGACTGAGGCACACCGATGGTCAGTTCCCCCCTGCTGTGACATTACTGCCAAAAAAACATCAATAAAGAAATCATTACGTGGAAATGGTCACAAATAAACTTTAATTTTTGCAAGTTTCAATCCATGGGTACCTCTCGTGTTCTGTAAGCTACTAGTACATTTAACTACCAAGTCTTCCATCCTAATCTAGTGAGCAAGTCTGTCCTATTTACTATTTACTCATCTTTCAAAACGTTCTGAGTTACTCTGAGCAGGATAATGTACATTTTCTTACCCCTGATCAAGAGCTGATGCTGCAGCCACTTGAACCTAAAAATTCTATTTCCCTTCTTCCAGACAAAAGAGCCCCATCCCAATAGGGATGTTAGACATGGCTGCCTTCCCAGGTGGATCTGTCACAAGAGAGATGTTCTGAGTAGTTGAAAGTCATTAACTAAAGGTGGGAATAATTCCTGACCTTGGGGAGGCTGCATAAAATGAAGGCAGAGAAGTTTCTGGGACAAATGAGAGGAAATATATAGCCCGGCCAGAGTGGCTCAGAGGTAGAGGGTTGACATCTGAACCAGGAGGGCAGGGTTCCATTCCTGGTCAGGGCACACTCCAGGTTTCAGACTCCATCCACAGTGAGGGGTGTGGAGGAGGCAGCTGATCAATGATTCTCTCTGCTCATTGATGTTTCCACCTCTCTCTCCCTGTCCTTTCCTATCTGAAATCAGTAAAACATATATTAAAAAAGAGAGAGGGAGCCCTAGCCAATTTGGTTCAGTGGATAGTAGAGCATCAGCCTGCGGACTGAAGGGTCCCAGGTTTGATTCCGGTCAAGGGCATGTACCTTGGTTGCGGGCACATCTCCAGTGGGGGGGGAGGCAGCTGATCGATGTTTCTCACTCTCTATTCCTTTCCCTTCCTCTCTGTAAAAAGTCAATAAAATATATTTTTTTAAAAAGATACAGGGAAATACAGAAACTGCTGACACTGACTATAATAAGAAAAAAGGAAAGAAATAAGGAAAGGAAAACAAACTGCAAAGGCAAGAACAACAGAAGTAGAGAAATATGGAGGAAAGGAGCCCCACAGATATGACGGGGAGCTGAGAGAGTACCCCATGTTCTTGACTCTTTCCTCCTGCTTCTCCGACCTTAAACCCTCTGTTTCGCCGCATTAATAAACATACTCTCAAAAGCCACCTGGACTGGTGTTGTGAAATCTTTCCTACACAGTTGAGAACCCACACTCTAAGCCTTAGAGTTCTCAACCTTCTGGCCCTTTAAATACAGTTCCTCATGTTGTGACCAAACCATAAAATTATTTTCGTTGCTACTTAATACCTGTAATGTTGCTACTGTTATGAATTGTAATGTAAATATCTGACATGCAGGATGGTCTTAGGCGACCCCTGTGAAAGGGTTGTTCGACCGCCAAAGGGGTCTCGACCCACAGGTTGAGAACCGCTAGAGGAGGGGCCCTAAGGCAGACCTACCCTGGGCCCAGACCCCATCTGGTAATAGTCTGAATCCAATCAGAAGAAAGGAGTCCACTGTCCCTAAAAATAAATAATGGTATTTAACAAAATTAAAAATAACATCAGGGATATGTCCTGCATTTAGACTTTGCCAGACTTGTGAGTTTTAACTTTAAATGGATACTCACATCATTTCCTAATGGTAAGCTGTAGGAGTCAGGGATGAATCACATGTAGAAGAATAACACCAAGATCAGGTCCTGCCCGCTTTTAATTCACTTTGAATACACATTTGCCCTTTAGCAATGCATACGGGCAGATCAAAGGTAAAATCTTCTTTGAGTAATACCAGCAAATCAATCCACTCATTTTTGAAGTCAGGACCATTGTATTATGATCATCATAAGTAGCTGCCAAAATTAAGATCACTTATGAACAAAAAAGATATTTAGAAAACTCTGGAGACTTCCCAATGTCTCCGCTCAGACTCTCCTCCCCTGGCGACTCTAAACTGGGGAACCAAGGCCACTTAGTGCTCAAGGTGGTGTCTGGGTACCCTCCCCAGCTACCCTCACTTTGGGTCCCCAGACCAGTATCTGCCGCCAACTCCTGCCTGACCTGCTCTGGTGCCCCACTGCGGGTGCAGAGGACCTGAGGTACTGCACACAATTGTGGAAGAGGGAGGTGTCACTTCAAAGCTCCTTGCTAAAGAACATAAAGGCCATGGCAGCGACATCAGAACGTAGTTTAGCTGAACTCTCAAAAACACTTACGTCATATTTATTGTGACTATCATAATGTCCCTGTAGATATAAGAACAAGAAAAATATATCAACAATGGAGAAATCTGTTCACATTATTTAAAGTTCAAGGCCACTGGGAAAAGGGTTTGCTACTGACATAACTACACTGCATTACCAACTCCAATACTGTTACCTACAACTTTGAAGGTTGAACACATGAACACATCCACACTCACTCAGCTGTATTAATTAAAATAGCCCGGCCAGCATGGCTCAGTGGTTAAGCATTGACCTCAAGGTTCCATTCCCCAACAGGGCACATGCTTGGGTTTTGGGCTCAATCTCAAGTGTGGGGCATGCAGGAGGCAGTCAAACAATAAATCTCTCTCCTTATTGATGTTTTGATGTCTTGGTCCCTCTCCCTTTCTCCATGAAATCAATAAAAATATATTTTCAAAAAAGAAAATAGTAAGTTCACCCATATCCGAATAAAGTATGAAAACCAACACTGTAAGTACAACTATTTGTCAAAATGCACATTATAAACATATAAGATGTATTACTAATCTTCTGAAGCTGTAGGCTAAAGCAAACAGCACTTAGCATAAAAGTGCAAAAGAGACATTGGAAGGCCAATGGACTTTGATATTCAGCAGGGCTGAATACCAGCACAAGTTTGCCCTGCTGTGGTTGCAATGGCTCCAGGCAATTTCCTATCCTGATAATCTTTACACTGTAGACCAAATTTTACCTTTGATCTGCCCATATGCATTGCTAAAGGGCAAATGTGTATTCAAAGTGAATTAAAAGCGGGCAGGACCTGATCTCGGTATTCTTCAAGAAAGAGGTTCCACATGGCCCTCCAAATGCCTTCTAAAATCATATATTATTTTTTTAGAGTTAAATAATGCCATACAAACTGTCAATTTAATTACAGAGCGGACTTTAAATTATAGACTTTACAGAGGTGTTTATAATTACATGGGCAGCAAGTATCCTAATTTCCTTCTTTATATTGAAGGCCAATAACTGCCTTAAGACAAGGAGCAAGTACTAATTTTTTCCAATAAAACAAGAAATCAGTGTTTTTATGAAGGACTCTGATTCACAGACAGATTTTCATTTCCCCCTCCTTCCTTTAATAACGGAACACCTGATTTTGGGCTGGACGCATTACCTCATGGCCGAAGACTACATTTCCCAGCTTCCATTAAAGCCAGGAATGACAAAGTTCTGGCAAATGGGATGTCAGTGAAAATGTTATGTGCCACTTCTGGGTCAGGCCTATAAAAAGAATGGGTGTGTTGCCCTGTTGAAGCACATTCCCACCGGCTGATGGTTGTGGATAAATTCATATTTTTTGTATAGTGTATTTATTGTGTTGTCGACCCTCCTACAAGTCATCTGAACTTGCCGGGAATATAATAATGTAATAACTGTGCTTCATTTGCTCTTTTGAATGGAGGCTAATCATTTAGAAAACATGGACGTACAATAATTTTATGCACTTAGGGATGAGTGGTCTATATACCTTCTCAGATATGCCTCATATCTTCTTTATTTCACCACATCAACCAATGTTCATCACTTCTACCTATGGTTACTATGAAGATACATCAGGATTTTTATGAACTGCCACCATATTTTCCTGAAAGAGTAATTGGCAAATTTAGTTGAAATTTATAATGCCGTTTCGTGATGACATAAAACAAAATTCTAAGTCAACCACAATCTCCAGTGAGATGGTCTTAAAACAGTGTGCCTTACAATATATGCACTATTCCATGGAAAAGTATGTCAGTGAAACCTCTGTAACATACAAGTGCTGACAGGTCTTTAAGGAAGTACCAACCCCATGATTTAACACATACACCAGGAATAAAACATGGTAGCATCAGTGATATGGGAGCAGAATCACATTAATATTGCCTTTTCAATATGTCTCAAATAATGTCAATAAAAAATAGACAACACTGTAAGCAATTATACTTAAGAAAACATTGTTTTTAATATATTCAAGCATACTAAAAATCACTTATGTCCATTAAAACATTGGATTATTCTCCATAAGTATTCTGATTTAGAGTAATACTTGAGAAGTATTGACTCTTCATTTAGTGTCAATTCTGATACTTTAAAACTTAATTTCAAATATATACTTTGAAAAATTTTTAGGATTTTGAGAAGCATATTTTTTTTTTGAAAAGCCTTTCCTCCTATATCATAAACATAGAATTAAGTCCAAATTGCAATCCTTCATATTGACTGAGACTGCAGGTCCAGCTACAGGATTTCCCACATTCTTTGGTTTTAGGGTTTCCCTCTGCTAGGAATTTCAATGTGAGGAATAAATTATGAATGTGGAATAAAGGCTTTTGGACACTGTTTACATTTTCATTGTTTCTCCTGAGTATGAATTCGGATGTCAAATACGGTTCATGTACCGAGTGAAACTTTGCCACATTCTTTATATTTGCTGGGCTTCACTCTAGCAATAATTATCAGATGTTGAATAACATATAAATGAGAATATACACTTTGGCACATGTGTTACAATTTATAAAGCTCAATTTGATCATTCTCAATGAAATTAGTACAATGGTTAAATCTTTGGGAAGATTCTTTATATTTTTACTGTTTCTATTTAGAATGATTCCCTCCAATTAATAGGAAGTTTGAGTACAGGTTAAAAGCTTTGCCACATTCTCCTTTGGTAATGTTTCACTCCATTATATTTTTTTGTTGAGTGAGACAACACTCCTGATTAAAAGCTTTGACTAACTCAATATATAGTTCTTCTCTCCAGTACGAATTGCATTGTGTTGAGAAAGACACCATGGTCATTAAAAAATGTGCCTGCGTCTTCACATTTGTAAGGCTTCTCTTCATAATGAATTATCTGATGTTTAATAAGATCACACTGTCCAGGAAAGGATTTGCCACACTCCTTACATCTGTTAAGGTTTCACTCCACTATGAAGTCTCTCATGTACAGTAAATCACGAATATCTTTAAAGGCTTTTCCACATTTTTCCCTTTCATAAGGCCTCATACCTGTATGAATTCTTTGGCCCTGAGCAAGTTCTCACTGCTGGTAAAGAACTAATGGCACTGCTTAAAACTGTGAGGCTTGTCTCAAGTATGTACTCTTTGTTGTACAATAGGGCAAGAACACTGGTTAAAGGCTTTGCCTCATTCTCTACATTTGTAAGGCTTCTCGAACTCTCTGATGATAAGTGATTTGTTGCCCCACTGAAGGCTTTGCCACATTCTCTACATGTATAAGGCTTCTATCTAGTATGAACTCTGATGCTTACTAAGGTTTGAGAACTGACTAAAGGCTTTGCCACACTCTCTACATTCATAAGGCTACTCTCCAGTATGAAGTCTCTGATGGTAAGTAAGGCCTGAGGGTCTGGCAAAGGCTTTGCCACATTCTCTACATGTAAAAGGCTTCTCTCCAGTATGAAGTTCCTTATGTTGCTTAAGGTCTGAAGAGTCACAGAAGACTTTGTCACATTCACTACATTTATAAGGCTTCTTTCCAGTGTGACTACTCTGATGAATACTACACCTTGAGGACCTACTGAATTTTCCACTTTTATAAGGCTTCTCTCCAGTATGACGTTTCTGATGTCGAATAAGGTTTGAGGAGTCACTGAAGGCTTTGCCACATTCACTACATTTATAAGGCTTCTCTCCAGTATGACGTTTCTGATGTCGATTAAGGTGTGAGGGGACGCTGAAGGCTTTGCCACATTCTCTACATTTATAAGGCTTCTCTCCAGTGTGAACTCTCTGATGAAAAGTAAGTGTAGATGCCACACCGAAGGCTTTGCCACATTCTCTACATTTATAGGGCGTCTCTCCAGTATGCAATCTCTGATGATAAGTAAGGAGTGAGGATCTGGTAAAGGCTCTGCCACATTCTCTACATTTATAGGGCTTCTCTCCAGTATGAAGTTTCAGATGTTGATTAAGGTTTGAGGAGATACTGAAGGCTTTGCCACATTCCCCACATTCATAAGGCTTCTCTCCAGTATGAACTCTCTCATGATAAGTAAGGTATGAGGATCTGCTAAAGGCTTTGCCACATTCTCTACATTTATAGGACTTCTCTCCAGTATGAACTGTCTGATGTTTATTAAGGGAGGAGGAATAGATAAAGGCTTTGCCACATTCTGTACATTTATAAGGCTTCTCTCCACTATGAAGTTTCTGATGTTGATTAAGGTTTGAGGCAACACTGAAGGCTTTGCCACATTCTCTACATTTATAAGGCTTCTCTCCAGTATGAATTCTCTCATGTTTACGAATATTTGAAAGAAAATTAAATGTTTTACCACATTCTTTACATTTGTAATGTTTTTCTCCAGTACGAATTTTCTTAAGTTTATTTATATTGAGTATCTGACCGAAGATTCTCGCACAGGAATTAAATTTGCAAGCTTTCTCTCCAGTATGCATGTAATCTCGTTCAGTATGATGTGTAGATTGTTTCAAAAGTTTGTCACATTTTCTTCGTTTGTTTGTTTTTGCCACAATAGGAATAAACTGAAGTATAGTTTGATTTGACAATTGGTCAAAGACTTTTCCACCTTGATAATGGTTCTCTAGAAGCTGAATTTTCTGATGTATATTAGAATTCGACCCTTGGGTAAAATTTTTCCCATGCTCCTTGCATTGATAACTTCTGTCTTCATTGCATGCATTCTGCTAATCATTGAAGATGGAAAGGCCTTAAGTGACAGCTATAATTTCATTAAACATGTACTCTTTTTTTCAAGTAACTATTCTGTGATAACTATTAAACCATGAAGTGTATAAAAACAACAACAAAAAATAAAAAATAAAAAATAAAAAAAATAATAATAAACAAACAAACAACAACACTCTTTCCAGGATGGTGTGACTCAGGGGTTGAGCAACAAACCTTGAACCAGGAGGTCACAGTTTGATTCCTGGTCAGCAGCGCACATGCCTGAGCTGTGGCCTTGATCCCCAGTGCGGGGTGTGCAACAGGCAACCAGCCAGTCAATGATTCTCTTTCATCATGAATATTTCTCTCTCTCTATCTCTCCTTCTCCAGTTCTCTCTCTTAAATCAATAAAGACATATTTAAAAAAGATTCCTAAGTTATAAAAATGATAGACATTTGTATCAAAAATATTATTTCTCAATATAAGTATAATGATACCTTAATACAGAAGTCAACAACAAAAAGTCAACAAACTAATTGCATTTAAATTTTATGTGCATTATAAATCACTATATTCTAGAAATGACTGAAAATTTAATGCCACACTACAGTGTAATAATTCTTATATTTACAGCATAGATTATGTAAAGTCATAGATTTCATTTCAAAAATGTATAATATTAAAAAAATTATATTTGGTCTTCATATTTAGAAACACATTAATTTACAAATATGACAAATTTAAATCAGGAGTATTACACCAAATGTGTAATATCATCGACCTCATTAAGTGACAATGATTTTATTATGAATAATTGTACCAGGTTACTGCTGTCCATGTTAAAATAATTTTTTGTGCCCTGACCGGTTTGGCTCAGTGGATAGAGCGTCAGCCTGCGGACTCAAGGGTCCCAGGTTTGATTCCGGTCAAGGGCATGTACCTTGGTTGCAGGCACATCACCAGTGGGGAGTGTGCAGGAGGCAGCTGATCGATGTTTCTCTCTCATCAATGTTTCTAACTCTCTATCCCTCTCCCTTCCTCTCTGTGAAAAATCAATAAAATATATTTTTAAAAAAATAAAATAATTTTTTCTGATCTTACATTCCTCCTCAAATTCCAAGGCTTTCACTAAATGTACATTATCAAAGCCATACCTTCCATATCTTACCAGTATTATTTTAGGGAATAAATCTCTTATTTTTGGCTTTTGCAGAATGGCCTGGTTGTCTTCAGATAAGATAGCTGAAAGATATGAAATAAAGTTTGACAGTTATGGCACTCAAGGGAATGCACACTGACCTTACCAGCACTTACTGACCAAATGACATTTTGAGTACTCCAAAATTAAGTTAAATGTTCACAACAAACCAAGAAAGGTACAATGAGAAAAAGTAAGATAAAAGAGGGTTAAAAAGTTACTTACATTTGTCACCAATACTTCAAAACACCCTAGCAAACAGTGGCAGTATGATAAAACTCCCAATTCCCAGTTTTTTCTCTGAGGAGATAGAGATGAGGGTACTGTGTGTGTTCAATGACCTTGTATTTTTGCAACATCTTGAAAAATGTGTTTCTGTTTTGCATGATACAGGTTGCTAAAAATAATGGCATTACTGGTACATGGTGAATGCATTGTAATGGCTGCTAAAGAGAAAAAGTGGGTGCCTGGCCCACATGGCTCAGTGGTTGTGCATCAACCTATGAACCAGGGCGTCACAGTTTGATTCCTGGTCAGGGCACATGCCCATGTTGTAATCTTGATCCCCAGTGTGGGGCGTGGAGGAGGCAGACGATCAATAATTCTCTCTCTGAGGGACACTGTAATGACTTCAACAATAAAGAATTATTAAAAATAAATAGTAATTCTTTCTCATCATTGATGTTTCTATCTCTCCCTCTCCCTTCGTCTCTGAAATAAGTTAAAAAATATTTAAGAAAGAAAAAAAGAAAAGGTGGGACATTGTTCAAACCCTACAGAGACTGCAATACTGAAGACAGTTATCAAGAACAAAAAGATATTTAGGGTTCTGGGGAAGAAAAGAGAAAGTTATTTAAACTTGGAACTTACACACACTCTGCTGCCAAACCATTTTGACAGAAATTTGAAGTTTATAAGGCCTGGTTGTTTAAATTCCTGAACCCCATCAAGAGATATTAAGATATTGAGAAAAACTAAAAAACATGGCCCAAACATAAAAATATCTATGAAAATAAACCAAACATAATAGGGAAGCTAAAAAAAATGCACCAATATAAAAATATGACAGAATTATCAATGAAAGATATGACCAAGCTGAAGAATAAAAAAACTTGCATAGTACATTGAAAGTTTTGATAGAGGAAGTCCACATGGGACACTAACAAATCGACAACTTTGCACACTAAGTGGAGTGACATAAATACAGAATAGTGAGAAGGCGTGATAACAGATAAGAAATTAAGAGTTGAAGACATGGAGAGCAACGTCAGAAAAATGGAGACTAGAGAGATCACCCAGGCCTCTCCTCCTGCATCTTGAACAAGTTATCAACTATATCTCAAAAAGGAATTCCCTGCTTAACATAGAAGCCTGACTGAGAGACCAGCACATTGAAACATCTAGAGGTGGGCAACCAGGAATAAAAGGGGAAGAAGGGAGGAGAGGCCAGATGGCCATGGACACAGCCCTGTAGGAGGAGCTGGTGACCAGCTCCATCCAGAGAGGGGGGGAAGCTGGTGGTATTCGTTGTTTCCATGGGGCAGAACAGAGAGTCTCAGTGGGTTCTCCAGCAGGGTGAGCAGTGAGAATAACAGCTGAGCCAGCAGAGATTTCTGGGCAAGGACACAGCATAGGGGTTCTGCCATGACTGTCTGCTGTTGGGTGATGGTATTTCAGACAAAGAAATATAGCCTCAGAACGCTACCTTCCCTCAGATTCCCAAAACTCGCTCCCAGTTGTCCTTGCTCAAAGAGCATAGTATCTGCACACAGAGAGCTAGTGCAATAGAATCGCTGTTGACTTCTGTGATGGATAACCAGGTGAGGCTTGTGGGGGGACCCACAGAGGTCTGGGGTGACCATTACAATAAGAGCAAAATAAACACCCACCCAAGCAGCATGGCTGTAGTCAGCTCTGGGAGTTCACAGAGTTAATAATCTTATTATTCAGGGCCACCTGCTGTAAAATGGTAGAAATCCTCTTCAGAGAAAGCTGCTAGAGAAAGGTCAACAATAAATGCCTAAACAGTGGAGACTAACAAATTAGTAACGATGGTGATGAGAAGGCTCAGAAAGAAAATAAAAAATCTCCAGAGAGCAAGCTGCAGCGCATGGAAATATGTGCTAAAAATGACACAGAATTCAAGATTACAGTTCTGATAATACTCATAAGATGCGATAAAATTCCTGCAATTTGATCAATGCACTCAGAACACAAATTAATGAACAAAACAAGTACTTTTCCAAATCGATTGAAACTTTCAAAAAGAACCAATCAGAACTCTTAGAAATAAAGTATGCAATTTAGGAGATTAGGGGTGAATTACTGAGAGTAGGAAACAGAGCTGAACAGATGGAGCAAAGAAAGAAGAGACCTGAGCATGAAAAGGAAGAAAGGGCTCTATGAGCACAATTGGACTCCATCAGAAAAGGCTCATACATAAGAATTATAGGCATACTAAGAGGAAGAAGAGAGGAAGAAGGAAACTATAAGGCTATTCAAACAAATAGTGAGGTTGAAACAGCCCCGGTGAGGCTGGGACGGCCCCAGTGAGGTTGGGACGGCCCCGGTGAGGTTGAGACGGCCCCTGTGAGGCTGCGACGGCCCCTGGGAAGCCGAGAAAAATACCATATGATCTCACTCATTTATGGATAATAAAGACCATTATAAACTGATAAACAAAAATAGATACAAAGGCAGAGCAGCATTGAACAGACTGTCAAACTACAGTGGGAAGTCTGGGGAAGGTTGTGGGGGCGGGGCTAAGAGATCAACCGAAGGACTTGTATGCATGCATATAAGAATAACCAAATGACACAAGACATTGGGTGTAACACTCTTTGTAATACTTTAAGATATAAACAAAATTAAAAGGGAAATAAAAAATAAAATAAAAACACAAAAAAGAAACATCAATGATGAGAATCATTAATTGGCTGCTTTCTGCACGCCCCCACACTGAGAATTGAGCCTGCAACCTGGGCATGTGCCCTTGACCGGAATTAATCTGGGGACCTTTCAGTCCACTGGTTGACGCTCTATCCACTGAACCAAACCGGCTAGGGCAGGATTTCCTCTTACAGGGCCTGCACACGGACTTACTCTTGGACTCACTCTGACTCTGAGCTCTAGCACCAGGGCATCAGCTGGACAGACAGGGAGAAACTGAATTGTCTGTCTGTCATCAGAGCCACAGCTGGCAGGGCAGCTTTCTGTCAGAGAAAAGTGCTGCTAGAGTCCATTGTTCATTTCTGAGACCTTCCCACAAAGCCAGCAAGCGCGCACCATATGGGTCTCCATCAACCTGGTTAACACTGTAGCTTTGACCTAATGACTGCTGGAGAACTTGTCCCACCCAACTTGGGGGGCCAGCCAAGCTGTTTTGCTGTGTTTAGTGGCTTTTCCATAAAAATGGCCTCTTTTTCCTCATGCTTCAGACGTTCCCCAAATCCCCCAAACAAGCAGCACTTGGCTTTCATGTGCCCTGTACGTCACACTTAAGTGTCTTGAGGCTTGGCTTTGGTGGCAACCAGTTTTGGATGGCAGCTGGACCTCTCCTGGGCAACTCCAAGCTAAACACAAGCAGCAGCCATTGCCCAGCTGGTGTAGCTCAGTGGTTGACCCATGGACCAAGAGGTCGCTGGTCCAATTCCCACTCAGGGCACATGCCTGGACTGCAGGCTCCGTACACAGTAGGGGGCGTGCAGGAGGCAGCTAATCAATGATGTTTCTATCTATCTCCTTTCCTCTCTCTCTAAAATCAATAAAAACATAATTAACAAGAATAAAAGAAATATCCATTTGCAGGTCCCTCTATAGCTCATATCAAGTGGCCCCAAGAAGACACACGTGGTGACTGACCTTGGCCCACAACTCCTGGAAGGCCCCAGAGCCAGTCCATTCGTTCCATAGCTTCATAACGCCGCCCCCCCCCGCCCCGCCCCGCCGGATTACAACCCGACAACCTCCAGGGGAGACACACTCACGGGGGAGACTTGGTGGACACTCAAGCACTACATCAGCAAGTTCAGTTACAGAGGCTTTGGCCCCAGCACTGCTGCTTCTCTTCTGAAGTTGCAGTTGGTCCTCACAGGGAATCTGCCTGGGAGTTGATACTAATGTGCCAACAACAATCAAGGCTCCAGGACAGCAGGACAGAAAACACAACCCACACACAGCACAGGCCTGGAGCACCTCGCTGGAGTAACTCGGGAGGGCGTGCCACTGGGCCGTACAGAACGCCTACTTGAGTCACACTACCAAGTCCAGCAGATGGCGCAACTCTACCTAATACGTACACAGAGACAAACACAAAGACCCGGCCAAGTGAGAAGACAAAAGAGGGGCCCCAAATGCAAAAAACGGGGAAATCTCCAGAAGAAGAAATGGAGGCAAGCATACCAGATACAGAGTTCAAAGCAATGGTTATAATGATACTCAAGAAACATCATGAAAACTTCAATAGCATAAAAAAGAACAAGGAAACCATTAAACATATGAGTCAGAAATGAAGGATCCACTAATGAAATAAATTTAAATATTGCAAGGATTCTAAAGTAGAGTAGATGAATGCCCAATTCCGTTTGGCTCAATGGATAGAGCATCCACCCGAGGAATGAAGGATCTTGGGTCCGATTCCAGTCAAGGGCATGTACCTCGGTTGCAGGCTTGAACCCCGGCCCTGGTCAGCTTATATGGGAGGCAACCAGTCGATGTGTCTCTCTCACAACAGTGTATCTCTTTCTGTCTCTCCAATATCCTGGCACTCTCTCTCTAAAAATCAATGGAACAATATCCTTGGGTAAGGATTAACAAAAATAAATTAAAAAATAAAGTAGAATAGATGAAATAGAGAATGAAATCAAGATTTGGTATATAAGGAAGCATATTAAAATCCAACCAGAACATCAAAAAGATAAAATAATTTTTTTTAAAATGAGGCAAGAGCATCTACCTATGAACCAAGAGGTCACGGTTCGATTCCCGGTCAGAGCACATACCTAGGTTGAAGGCTCAATCCACAGAGTGGGCTGTGCAAGAGGCAACTGATCAATAATTCTCTCTCATCACTGATGTTTCCATCTCTCCCTCTGTCTCCCTTTCTCTCTTAAGTAAAAAAAAATGTTAAATGTGCAAGATAAGAATAGAATATTTCTCCCCAAAATTGTGAATAATAAATACATGTACTAGTGGAAAAGAATCCTATCTAATAAAAGAGAAACATGGTAATTAGCTGTACGGCCGCTACCCTTCCCATTGGCTAATCAGTGAGATATGCAAATTAACTGCCAACCAAGATGGCGGCCGGCAGCCAGGCAGCTGACACAAACAGGGAGGCTTGCTTGCTTCAGTGACGGAGGAAGCCAAGCTTCCCCGCCTGCCTTGCCGGCCTCTCAGCTGCACTCTAAACAATATTGTTACAAATATAGAAGCTAAACAAAACCCCGGCTTCAGCCAGCAGGACCGCAACATTGTTTCAAATACAGAAGGTAAACAAAGGCCAGAAACCTGCTTTCAGCAGCGGAAGTCTCATAGCTGGAGCCAAGCCTCAGAGCTAAAGCTGGCCCAGAATTAAAAAAAAAAAGGAAAAAATGACAGGTTGGGAGCTTCAGTCACCCGCTAGCCTGAAAACGGCCCTCAGCCCCTCACCCAGACTGGCCAGGAACCCCAGTGGGGACCCCCACCCTAAAGGGGGTGTGACCATATACAAACAGAGTGCCTGTCCCCTGGTAGTCAGTGCGCGTCATAGCGACTGGCTGTTCGGTTGTTCCATCCTAAAGGTAGTTTAGGTTTTTATATGTGTAGATGGAACATGAGTTTTGATAGAGATTCTCTTATTTCCAATCCAGTTTGTCCACTGAAAATTTGAATATTCTAGAAAATTGTTTTCCAAAATACTGTTTTCTGACAGAACCTTAGTCTAGACAACAAGTAAAATTTTCAAACACTGAGTTCCTGATTCACATAACAGTCTTTCTTTTCTAAACCAGAAAACCCCTATTTGTTCCCTAAGAGCAAGAATCAGAAAGTCTACCCTAGAAAGCAGAAGCCTCCTAAAGATGTTAAAATAAAGGAAAAAAAACCCTGAAGGTGAATCAACAACTCGGGAAGGAAGTCATCCTTACCCACAGAGATCAGGTTGCTGTAGTTCTCCGACATCACATCCAGGTACAATTTACGCTGAGCTGGGTCCAGGCATTCCCACTCCTCCTGAGAGAAATCTATGGCCACATCCCTGAATGTCAACAGCCCCTGAAAGAAAAGAGGTTTACCAAGAGGTCACCAGAACAGTTCATAATGTCACCCAACATGAAAACAGTGTTAGGAGATAAAGAAAAAAATGAAGGAAAAAAAAGAAACAAACAAAAAAGAAAACCGTGTGAGGAGAAGAGGTTTTGACCAAGGGGAATATCCTGAATCACCCAGTAAGATCACTTTGCCCAGTAACATTCTCTGGTATGTTTTCGAACACTAACAAATGAGGATGACACCTGTCCCAAAATCCACAGTACAGATTTTACTTTTCAGGAAAATAAACTGTAAAATTAGGGCATCGACACGGGAATATGGGTTTCTGAGGGCTGTGTTTGCATAGAGAGTTAGAAAGATCGATGAGAGAGAAACATAGATCAGCTGCCTCCTGCACACTCCCCACTGGGGATGTGCCCGCAACCAGGGTACATGCCCTTGACCAGAATCGAACCTGGGACCCTTGAGTCCACAAGCCAATGCTCTATCCACTGAGCCAAACCGGTTAAGGCAGAAAATAAACTTTAAAATTAGGGCATCGACACGGGAATATGGGTTTCTGAGGGCTGTGTTTGAATTGTTCAGGGTTAGTGGTGTGTGTTTCTCAGCTGGAGATGTCATGCTCAGTTGGAAGCATAATTACGGCCTGAAGTGTAACACAGTCAACCACGACTGCACTTTTCTAAAAATACAGATTCTGAACCAGGTTCTCAGATGGGGCCTGCATTTCCACATGTGTAACAAGCTCACTTTTCACTTGTGATGCCAATGTTTATGGTCCATTTGTCATACTTCTGAATAAACAGAAGAGAAAACACAGGAAAAAATTCATACATAACTTTTAAGTGAAAGTATTTTTCAATGGAATTTATAGTTTTCATGGAATAGGACACATAGGAACCACAATCCTATTTGAAATTTTACTATGAGTATTCTTAGAACAAGATTATTCTCCCTTTGATAGAATATTTTGTGAAACATATTAATTAAAGTTACTAGTAAACCTTCAATTTTATTCCAAACTCGATCTACAATTAAATATAGCTCAAACGATGTTAACATTTTATGTAGAGACACACTTATGAGAACTTACCTACAATTTAAAATGGATAGAAAAAAAGAATTATCATGTCAATGAAGTCACGGTTATTTTGTGATTCCATAAATTTCATGAACATCCTTGTGAATGATACCCTTTGTGTATTATAAACACAATAAGGAGATGAACTCACATAATGATAGAAAATATGTTGGACCTATTGTTTCTAAGTCACTAATGCATTTGGAAATTTTTATGTGTCATTAGTGGAGAGCTACAATCATAGAAATTTAACTGAATTGGAGATACATTAATAATGTGATTCTTGTAAACTTTCTAGAAAATATAAAAAGTGATTATGTCGAGTATATCCATGAATGAGTGTAGAATATTATAAAAATTTACAGCAAGAAGGCCTCATTGGTTGAAGCTCCCATGTCAAAAGACAGTGATCTGTAGGAAATAAAAGTAGGGCTTTTATTTTTCTAAGCAAGTAGAAGCTAAGACGAAGAGGGGGGCTTCTGGATGGTCTGTGCACATCTTTCAATAAATTCTACGATTAGGGGAGCATCTCAGCCAAGGGAATATCAGGTGAACTGGAACAATGGATATCAAGTGACTGAGGCACAGGAAGGGACATGTCATAGCAAAAATACATAAATAAGCAAGTCATTATGTGAAAATGGTCATAAATGAACATTATTGTTTGCAAGTGTCAATCCATGTGTACCTCTCATGTTCTATAAGCTAAAGGTACATTTAAATAGCAAGTCTTACTAATCTAGTGTCTTCTCTTTACTCTTCTTTTCAGAACTTGCTGAGCTATTGTGAGCAGTAAAAGGTGCATTTTCTTACCCCTATTCCAGAGCTGATGTTCCAGCCACTTGAACCTAAAAGCTACATTTCCCTTCTTCACGGATACCCGAGCCTCTGGGCCCATCCCAGTAAGGATGTTAGACATGGCTGCCTTCCAAGGTTGATTCGTCAGAGAGGGATGTTTTCAGTAAGGGAAAGTCATCAATTAAAGGTGGGAAATCTTCTTGACCTGGTGGAGCCTGCATAACATGAATGCAGAGAAGGCTCTGGACCAAAGGACAAAAGTATATAAACTGCTGACCTTGATTATCACAAGAAAACCTGTAATTAAGTAAGTAAAGGAAAAGAGCATGAATAGCACCAACATCAGAAGTGGCAGGTTCTAAATCCACAGATGTCAGAGGAAAAGGAAACATAGCCTGTGACCCAGGACACATCTTTTACCTGAGAAGCAGCCATTTGGTCCTGGTCCTGGTCCTGATCAGGGTCTGGGGTGTTGTCTCAGGCGAGGATATGTTGAGGAGTCACAGAATGTGCCTTCAAAGAAGTCAGCTCAGCGTCTCAATCACCTCAACTTCAGTCAAAAGGACCTGGAAATGAGGAAAAGGCCATGCCTGCCTGTCCTTGGTCACAGGAGAGAGTGAGGAACAATGAGCTCCTACATGAAGACCACACTGTGAATTTTTGAGTGTGTGTCTTCATGTGTCTCTCCTCCTAAAACATCCACAAACATCCAAAAACATCCACAAACGCCTACAGAAATGAGAACGTGAGCTTCTGTCCTGACCTTCAAAACCGAACAGAGCACCCCCTTACCTCCCCTGAACAAAGCCTGCTCCCCACTCTCACAAAGGCATCCTGCACCCCTCCTACTAATCCCCCGTCCTCACCTTCCATCACCTGGAGGCCCACAGTCACCAAGGATGCCCCACCCAGAGCAGCTGTCCAACTCCATGGGGGAAAGTGCCCCTGAGGGCATTTCTTTAAGCTCCTCCGGGGGGATCTGAGAAGACCCAGAGGATTTATCTCAGGATGTTCTTAAATAATAAATTGTCAGACACAGGAAAAGTAAATCCATTGAAGAAACACACACACAAAACACCACAACCAAAAACCTAAGGTTTCTAATATTCCTTGAAAAAGAACCAGGTGGTGAAAAACACAGGTCACCTCCTCGTTGCCAACCCAGTAAATGGGGACCCAGGACCAACAGACAAGTCTCTCCCCTCTGAGTGAATAAGGGTTACAATTGGAAGCAAATCATTATAAAATTCCAAAGCCTTATAAACTGGAGACTTGTCATTCTCATTCAAGTCTGTATAACTAAGACAATTCAGCTGTTAAATATATAAAGCCATGGTTAGGCGGCATGATTTACTGGCTGAGCTTGGACCTATGAACCAGGAGGTGGTGGTTAGATTCCTAGTCAGGGCATATGGCCAGGGTGCAGGTTTGATCCCTAATGGTCAGGGGGTGCTCGAGGGGAGGGTGGGGGGGAGACAGGAGGCAGCTGATCAATGATTGTCTTTACTCATTGATGTGTTTTTTTTTTCTTTTAAATTGATTTGTAGAGAGGAAGGAAGAGGAAGAGAGAGATAGAAACATCCATGATGAGAATCATGGATCGGTTGCCTCCTGCAAGTCCCCCACTGGGGATCGAGCACACAACCTGGGCATGTGCCCCTGACCAGAATCAAACCCGGGACCCTTCAGCTCATAGGCTGATGATGCTCTATCCACTGAGCCAAACTGGCCAGGGCTCATTGATGTTTTTAATTCTCCCTCTCCTTGCCTCTTGGTAATCAATAGTAATATCTTTTGAAGGTTGAAAAGATACACACATACACACACACACACAAACACATATAAAGCCACGAGCCGATATATCACAACTTAACCATCCATACCCCATCAGCTCACTCAGATCAGGGTTCCCTTCCTCCCACTACTATGTACAGTGGGGCCTTGACTTCCCAGTGTCCCAACTAAAGAGTTTTTTGAGGTACCAGCGGTCTCTCGGCCAATTTTTTGCATTGAGTTGATACAGTAATTTGAGTTAACGAGCTGCTTCACCAGCTCGGTCTCGGAACGAATTAAACTCGTAAGTCAAGGCCCCACTGTATTTCTGTCTCTGTCTCCTGCTCCCTTTCTCTCCACTGTGGTCCTTTCCTGTGTCCCCCTCTCTCCTGCTCATTGTCCCCTTTTCTCTCTGTCTGTCCTACACCTGGACCATGAAACTCCTGAAACCTCCTTCCCTTCAGGGGCTCTTTCTCCTGGTCTCTGAGGCTCCATCTCCACACACGTCTGCGTCTTCCCCTCCCCACGCCCGCGGCCACTCTGCTGCCTGTTCCCTTCTGTCCCGCTCCCACAGCTGCTGACTCAGTGCTGCTCCCTCTGCTCCCTCATCCCTGAGCCCCCCTTTCTGTCCTGCACTGGCTCCCCAACTCTTCTCCTCTGAACCAGTGTCTTTGTCTCAAGTGCCTCCTCCTGTGCGGCCCCCACTTCTGCTCCCCAGGACCCGCTCCCTCTCAGCCCCCCTTCCTCTCTCTGGGCTCCCCCTCCTCCCTGTGTCTCCACTTCCTTCCTCCTCAGGCCACTTTCCCGAGTGACCCCCTCACTCCTACCGTCGCCGTCCAGTCCCCCCCACACCCCCTATGGGCTCCTCTCTGTGGACCCCTCGCTGCCCTTCCTCCCGCCCACGTGTCTGTCTCTCACTCCCTCTCCTGACCCCCCAGCCTGGGTCCCCGCCTCCCGCAGTCACTGCGCCCACAAAGCCCCTCCCTGCGGGCAGGTCACCTCTTCAGGGGACACCGCGTCCTCCTCCTGAGCCCCCCATGGACACTGTGCTCCCCGGGCAGGCAGACCCCTTATTAAATGGGGGTGGGCCTAGGAGAGGGGTGCAGACCCCCAGGCCCGCAGCCATCCGGGCTGTTTGGGCGGAAAGCGCCGGGCGGGGGGAGGGGCGCAAAGGGCGGGAACCCCCTGACCCAGACTCTCAGCCCCGCGGGGAGGACCGGCGGCCCCGGAAACGGGTTTCAGAGGGAAAACTTCGCGGCAGGCGGTGGCCACAGCCACAGGCGGAGAGACCCCGGGCCTGGGCCTCCGTTTCCTCCCAAAGGAACGTGGCGCCCGCACCGCGCAGCCTCCCGGGACGCGGACTCACCGCTGAGAGAGGCTCCGGGGCGGGGACCCCAACAAGGACTTCAGCGCCGGCAGCGCCCTCAGCCTTTCCTGCGGGGAGGGGGACGGGGAGCGTCAGCTTTAAAGACAAACACCCTCCTCAGGGGGAACCGCCACCTTCCCCTCCACGGCCGCTTCCGCGTCTGCAAGGAACTGCGCATGCGCCTCCCCGCGGGGTGGGCGGGGCCAGAGCCTGAGCTGAGCGACTCCGCGATGGGGGCGGGGCCGAGCCCGGCGGCCAGGCCTGTGCGGGGACAGAGGGAGGGAGGGCGGGGCAGGAGCGAGGGGGCAGCCCCGGTCCCCGCACCTCCTCCCACAGGGACAGCCCTTCCTGGGGGAGTTTCCCACGTCATTGTCAGGGTTTTGGCTGGTGACGCGGCTGCGAAAGGATTCACAAGGGAGAGAAGAGACTGGAGCAGAGGGAGGGCGTTTATTTTACTTCTTTAAAGGGAGGAAAGGGCCAGGTGCCCTCTGATGGCACAAGGCACCCCAGATAGAGGGGCTGTTCCTTTATTAGGGTGCTAGCGAGTAACTGGCAGCTGTGGCAAAAGCATGAAGAGGGAAGAGGAACCTGGAATTCACACAGCAGTTTCCCAGCTCCCAGAGGCTGTGCTTAGAGCTATGGCTGGTCTGCCCTTCAGCTGCAGGTGTCCCAGGGAGGGGTCTTTCCCAGGATCTTCACAAGCCGGGAGCACATTCTTACAGTGAAGTTACAGGGAATTCAAAAGGCGGGCAGCTTGGGTTTGAAACCGGAAACTTTTTACCTGCGATTTGCCTGGATCCTTAAACCCTCAGTGAGGAGGGGGGAGGGGAAGGGCAGCCTGCTCTCTCAGCCCCTCCCTGTCTCCCCAACTGAAGGGAGAGGCAGCTTGATTTAGGGAAGCAGGAGGGTGGGGGTGTCAGAGACAGACCAGGATATCCATTCATGGTTAGGCACCTGATGAGGTAAGGTCCCTTCCATCATAGTGGGAAACAGATTTCAATTCATGTATTTTTTTAAAATATATTTTATTGATTTTTTACAGAGAGGAAGGGAGAGAGATAGAGAGTTAGAAACATCGATGAGAGAGAAACATCGACCAGCTGCCTCCTGCACATCTCCCACTGGGGATGTGCCCGCAACCCAGGTACATGCCCTTGACCGGAATCAAACCCGGGACCTTTCAGTCCGCAGGCCTACGCTCTATCCACTGAGCCAAACCGGTTTCGGCTCAATTCATGTATTTTTCAAGGGATAACATTTTTTAGTTGTAAGTTGTGGTCTTTGAAATCTTTGTATTCTGGGAATGCAGTTTTAAATGAATATTTTGACTTTAGTAGTCCCTATAATCTAGTTAATGGGACATTGATATTAATGTAGAATGTCTCCTGTTACTTTTCCTTATATTTGGTAAACAAAACAATTTTATTGATTTTAGAGAGGAAGGGAGAGGGATAGAGAGATAGAAACATCAATGATGAGAATCATTAATCGGCTGCCTCCTGCACGCCCCCCACTGGGGATCAAGCCTGCAACCCAGGCAAGTGCACTTGGCCGGAATTGAACCTGGGACCCTTCAGTCCGCAGGCTGACGCTCTATCCACTGAGCCAAACCAGCTAGGGCAACAAAACAACTTTAAAATCAACAGTATTTAAAACAGTTATACAAATAATACCTATTATCAGTTTACTTAGTCCCATCACCATTTTAAAAATTTTAATTATTTCCCAGTATTTTCATGAATATAGGTATTCATTTAGGTGTTAGAGAAGTCTTTATTTAAAGGTATGACCTTTTTAGAAACCTGTAATTTAGAATAGTCAGGCTAGAGGATTGTTTAACCTATATAAGTATTTAATTGCTTTAGGCCAATAAAATATCACCCGTTAGTATTGCCACCCAAAGCCAGAAAACACACCACATAAAAATACCGTCATAGTAGGGGACTTTAGTTTCCCATGGATATCAATGGATACATCTAGCAGACAAAAAAGTCAATATGGAAAATGTGGTCTTAAATGCGTGATGAGACAAGACGGATTGGATATGTTTATAGCAGAGATTATCAACCGGAGTGTCACACAGGCAAACTGGTGTGCTGCAAACTTTTTTAGATCAAGCAACGCCTGGCTGTTTAGTCAATAGCATGGACTACATTACTCATTGATTGTCGAATAAAATGTGACAAAGGCCAGCACAGTAACAGCTGTGTGATGTGTATGGATCCAAATCAGACTTTTTTTTTTTTTGGAAGATTGACAAAAATATATATTTTGGTGGACCTCAGAATTTCAGTAATTACTCCATGTGTGCCATGAGATAAAAAAATGTTGAGACCTCTGTTTTAGAGCTTTTCACTCCAAATCACAAGAAAATGCTATCTGGACAAAATGTAAACAGAAGGTCCTCTAAACCTAGAAACAATGTCTGCTTCATCTATTTTTGTAATGACCATTGGGAGGGGAAAAAGATCTTATGTATATTTCCCATCGATACACCTCCTCAAGATTCCTCACTACAATACCAGAAAATGGAACTATTGTCTAGATGGGATTATATTCTTTGAATGATCAGGGTCTCATAGCATGTCCTTGTACAGAACAAATTCATAAAGCCCCTGGTCCAGATGAACCATAGTCCACACAGTATCAGCACATACATGTACATACGAATGCTCCATGGGTATGTCAGAAAGTAAAGTGGAAGAATATTGACCATCTTGTTTCTGTAATGATTTTGTCAGTCCTTCTGGGTGCCACATGCATAGGAACTGATGTTTACCACCTTGTACAAATTCAGCACAAGACACTGGAGAATGAATGTGGAGCTTTCATTTTAATCTCTGCTATCCTGCTGTCCATGGAACTTACAGTGACAGCTTGGATAACACTCCAGGGACAGGTAATGCCTATGAACATACCTGTGGTCATTCTGTGAAGATAGAAAATAACTTCTGATGCAAAATAATAAAAAATTTTAACTGCAAATCTGCCACGGTCACTGGGGTTCCTCTAGAAAAAATGACAAACATCCAGTTACATTCAAGTCACTGAGAATAAAATCTGTTTAATACAGGCTGAGTCCATCCTAAGAAAGAAGTTAATGAGGTAACACTGTGAAATTCTTAAGCATACAAATAAAAATCAAGAAACATCATTCCAGTTATAAAGGACACAGAAGCCAATTTGTAATTGCCCATAAATATTCATATTCAGCCCTAACTGGTTTGGCTCAGTGGATAGAGCGTCAGCCTGCGGACTGAAAGGTCCCAGGTTCGATTCTGGTCAAGGGCATGTACCTTGGTTGCGGGTACATCCCCAGTAGGGGGTGTGCAGGAGGCAGCTGGTCGATATTTCACTCTCTTCGATGTTTCTAACTCTCTATCCCTCTCCCTTCCTCTCTGTAAAAAATCAATAAAATATATTAAAAATATATATATTCATATTCAAAACTATAGGATCCAGCATGAAAACATGAATAGTGGTCTACCTACTTCATAAATATAAAGCAAAATTTTGCCAAATTCTGAAGTCAGTTATTGCATTAGTAAAACTTCAAACTACAGGACAGAAGCTACAGGGGCCAGAAGGGCTGATGTGAGAGAGGAAGATGTTAAGATGCCATTGTTATAGCACTGCAGAAAAGAGTATCAGCTGAGTAGAAAAATGAGGAAAAAAATAACAAAGAATATGAAATATGAAATGAAAAAAATAAACTTACTTTTTTGAATTCAGCTAGTAGTGCATCTCAGAAACAGGTGCCCTCTCTCCAATGCAAAGTTCACGGCAATTCTGCATTCTGGGTAAGAAACATCTCCTGCCTTGTACTACAACTCACTGGTATTGGATTTGAGAGAGAAGGGAGAGGGTTAGAAACAGCAATGATAATGCAGAATTATCGATCAGCTGCGCTTGCGTGAACTCTACTGGGTATCTAGCCTACAAACAGGGCATGAGCTTTGATCGGGAAATGAATGCTGACTTCCTGGTTCATGTGTCCACGCTCTACCAAGGAGCAACCTAGTGCAGACATCCCCACTGCTTATCCAAGTCACACACAGTACATTTACAGGTGTTCTCTCCAGTATGAATACTCTTATGTTCAGCAAGACAACAAGGATAATTAAAAGTTGTGCCTCATTCTACATATTTGTAAGGCTTTCCTTCACAATGAATTCTCTGATGTTAAATAAGACTTCATTGACAAGGATTAATCTCACAGATCACATTTGTAAGGTTTCTCTCTAGAATAAACTTTCTGATGTACAGAACGAAATAACACTGTCTAAAGGTTTCCTCACATTCTTTTCTTTTTTCAAAATATATTTTTATTGATTTCAGAGAGGAAAAGAGAGGGAGCAATAGAAATATTAACGATCAGAAGGAATTATATGGATCAGCTAGCTCCTGCATGCCCCACAGTGAAGATTGAGTCTCCAACCAGGGCATATGCCAGACAGGGAATTGCACTGACCTTGTGGTTCATACATCGAAGCTAAACCACTGAGGAATGCCAGCCAGTACTTTCTCACATTTTCTATAGTGTAAAGCTTTCCTCCACTATAAATACGTTATTCACTAAATTTTGAGCTGTGGGTACAGGTTCTTGCACATGCTCTACATTTCTAAGTTCTCTCTTCAGTATGAAGTGTCTCATGTACAATAATAAAAGTGTGCCTTTTAATGGGTTAGAAAACCCATTTTTCACATTCAGGAGGCTTCTTCCCATTTAGAATTCTGTGAGCTCAGTAAGTACTAACTGCTGGTACAGGATTTATGACACTCCTTGCATCTTTAATACTTCTCTTCACTATGGACTCTCTAATGTGCTGAGAGGTATGAGGTGTTGCCAAAGGATTTGCCACATTTTCCACACATATTAGGCTTCTCTCCAGTATGAACTCTGTGATGGTAAATAAAGGCTGAGGAATGCCTGTAGACTTTGCAACATTCTCTACATTTATAAGCCTTCTCTCTAGTGTGAATTCTCTGATGCTTAGTAAAGTGTGAGGACTGGCAGAAGGCGTGGCCACAGTCTCTACATTCATGAAGATTCTCTCCAGTATGGGTTGATGGTCAGGAAGGCCTGAGGAATGCCTGCAGCTTTGGCACATTGTCTTCTTTCA